CCTTTGGAGGAGGTGGGTGTCATTTCTGGTCCAGCGCCCAGGGAACCGGGAACAAAGATGCTATAACAAGGGGAGGGGGAGGTACCGGCCCCTGTGCCCAGCTCTGCAAGCAGACAGGAGAAACTATTTTTATCCGGCTTTGCTGCTGACAGACCTGGCTTTCTGCTCAGCTGGCTGGAGCTAATTCTCGAGGCCCGAGGCCCTGGCACAGCAAGAAGCAGCTCTAAATATACCCATGCAGCAGCCCCCATGGCCCCCCAGCGCAGGCCAGGCCTCCTCAGGAAACCAGGCCACCTGGGAAGCGCTCTCCCACTGGGCCCCTCTCTTTTCCTGCCCATCAGGACAGGGAGGGATGGGGCTGGAGATTGCCTCAGGCAGCTTGGCACCCTGGGAGGCAGGGAGATACTGGGGAAAGGAGCCCTGGGCTGGCTCCATTAGGAAAAGGAGGCCACCCTGACTCTGGTGAGAAGTTCTGTATGACCTGAGGTAGGTCAAGGGCCCTCTCTGGGCTTGGGCTTCGGCAGAAGGGCCTGGGAAGACCTATCTTAAACTTGAGCTCATGTGCATGAAGCACTTAGCAGGGAGCCCTGCACACAGTATGTGCTCAATAACTGTGAGTCATTACTGTTAAATATTATTTACAAAAATTCACAGGGTGCTGGAGCACTTTCTAGAACAACAATTTCTCCCTATTCCAACACCCCACCGCCCCGCGGGATACCACCTTCCCTCCCCAGCAGGCTGTACCCTCCCTGGGCCTCTGGGGCAGTACAGCATGGTGCATGGTGCACAGGGAGGGCTGGAGCTAGCTAGAAGGCAGGTGGTCCCAGGATCTGTTACAGGTTCCCACTCCCATCCAGGGGGCAGAGCAGCTGAATGACACAGTGTCTGCAGAGGACCCAGCACATTGATTTTCATAGATTTCCTTTTCCAGAACTCCTTTGGCCATATAGATTATATATAAATGGATTCTTTTTTTAAAAATTTCATTAGTTATTTACGGACCTTTATTCATTTATTTGTTTATATGTGGTGCTGAGAATCGAACCCAGGGCCTCACACATGTTAGGCAAGCGCTCTACCACTGAGCCACAACCCCAGCCCCATAARTGGATTCTTGATCTTCAGTCTAAAACATCAAGACTCTTGGGCAGGAAAAACCAAAGTCATTCTCAGGTCACATGTGTACGTCTCTGYGTTTCTGAGCCCTTCCCATGCCCCTACATAACAGGTGTAAATCAGGTAACCATCTCTCAAATGGGAAATTTCAGTCCAAAGAGGCAGCATGACTTGCCAAGGGTCTCACAGCTAGGGTTCTTTGTGCATGGGCCAGGGTGACAGCCAGGTCTCCCTTCTTTTGAGTCCCAGCTCTTCTGGGCCTCTATTAGGACCCAAACAAAAGGGAACTGTCTCAACCTAGCAGCCAGGAGACAGGCAGCTCAGCCCTCTAGTCACTCCTGAGACAGAGAAAGCACCCCAAACCTGTCTGTATTCCATGCACGGGGGAGAACATGGTTTAGAGTGTCCTAAAGGATTTTCCAGGGTTGARGCCCAGAGAGAAGTGGCTTTCCACAGTCACAGAGCAGCTTGAGATACCTCTGTGTATTTCCTACTCTCTGGCAGATTAGGATGTCACCAGAAAATGTATAAATAATATTGATCCTAGCAGCTTGAGAGGAATAGCTATTATGGGCCTGGCCTGGTACGAAGCACTTTACCCACATTAACTCATCCGGTCCTGTTAGGAACTCCCTTATACAGACGTACGAAGCAGAGATTGAGGAACTTGCTCAAGCACACACAGGGAGATGTCTGTGGATCTGAGAAAAATGAAGTCGAGTTGAAGGAGCAGGGAGTGGAGAGGACACAGGGGATCACTGATTCATCCACAATGCAGAAAGTCTTTAGAGCACCCCAACCTTCTTCCCGCAGACTGAGCCCAGAGAGGATAAGCAACCTGGTCAGCCTCAAAGCAAGTTAGAAGCRCCTTCTAACATGACCAAACTTGCATATGATGCCCCCAACCCATGTCAAACTTCTCAGCCACTGGGCAATCAGGTCTGCCCTGAAGGCCATCCTGAGGCTTGTTTTGAGGCGCCCCTAGTTCTATAGCATCAGCATCAGGAGTAAGGAGTTGCAGTGCTGCCGTCTGCCAGCAGAGGGCGCCGTGGGCCGCACACTCATTCTAGTGAGGGCCCCAAGGTTCAGGAGTTCCTGTGTACCAGAAGTTTTCTCTTTAGCATGGGAGGGAGGAAATGACCCATTCTGGAGGAGGAAACAGGCCCAGAGAGCATCAGCAGGTTTATCAGAGTGTACATCAAGAAAACTGAAGCACAGACATGCAGCCGGGGAGACTGTCACTGTGACTGGTAATAGCTGACATGTGTTGTGGGTCACTGGGRGCCAGGCAAGGGGCTGCAGTCCTGGCTCTGACTTCCTGCTGCATGACCCTAGGCATGTTGCTTAACTTCCTTGCGCCTTGGGGTTCTCATCTGTAAAATGGCAGGGTCAGGAGAGGAGAACGCACTCATGTGTGACACGTAGTGTCCTTGGAGCGTCGGTATTATTCACTTATTGCTTGTTCACTGGGGGWCTCCTTAGTGAAAAGGTAGAGGCAGACAGAGGGCAAATCGTTTGTTCAAGGTCACACAGCTGGGAATGGTAAAGCCAGAACTCAATCCAGGCAGTCTGGCACCAAAGTCGTGCTCTTCACCAATATGTCATTCTTCTTTAATAATAGAACAGTGCAAAGCCCGGGCCACATGATCATTCACGGCCTCCGAGCGGATCCCATACTCTCTTCATTTCCAGAAAAAAGACCCCAAAGCACAGAAAGATGGACTCGCCCAAGGTCATCACCTAGATAGAATCTGTGTTGGGGAACCAGGTCGTCCTCACCTTTCGATGGCCCAGGCCACGTGAGGTGCAGACCTGTCCTCCCTACAGCAGACCCTGCTGGGCTGCCGGGCAAGCCTTTATCATTCATTCCTCAAATACTTATCAAATGCCCACTGGCTGGGTCCCTCRTGGTAAGTGGCAGCTGAGTCACAGACCTTTCTTCAGGACCTCCAGGGGTGCAGGACCTCAGGGGGAGCAGTGCACCTGGGCGTAAGGACCACCGCCACTTGTACCTCAGGTTCCTTATGTGTAAATAAGGTCTGTTGGGGTGACCTGGGTGGGGATGGGAAGGAAGCCTGGCACCCAGTGTGTGCTCGGTCACCACCTTCGGTGATTACCATGCAAGAGGACTCAGGAGGAGGAGGGGGTCTGGAGGCCTGGCAGTCATTCAACCCAGTCCCAAGCGAACCTGATGCACGCTCTGGGAGCTGAGCACCTCCTCCCCCTTGGATTAAAATCTGCCACCACCACTGCCCACACCTCGCTTCTGATCACAGAGCACCTTGCACCTGAGTCACCCATGCCACAGCCCACAGCCACCTCTAAGCATAGGGCCCTGTACCAGTTGCTGAAGGGACGGGGAAGATAAGAGCACACCCTCACCTTCAGTGCCGGGGAGACTTTGCCCCGTGCCCACCCAAATGCCAAACAAGAGGCAAAACCCTAAAGGCTGAGTCAGCCAGGCCCCGTGACTAGAGGCCCAGCGGAAGTCTGGAGGTCACAGGAATCGGGCCTCAGGATTACAAAGCCCAAGTCTCCCACCTGCTCCCTACAGATCGCAGGGGTCAGATGCAGAGGGTCCAATGGGATTTGCCACTCCCCAGCTGCAGAACCTCAGAAAGGGGTCCCGACTTCTATTGTTCTCTGTAATAAAAGGACAAAGGGAAACGCTGGGTAATTAAGTGCCAGGATGATAAGTTTGTTCAACGCCTGCCAGAAACCCTCCAGGGAGCCCAGGGAAGGTGTGGACCAGGCAAGGCCACCTGAGGCAGAAACAAGCGGAGGTGGCCCCTGTCCTCCAGAAGCCCCTATGGAATCCCCTAGGGAAGAGCCAGCCTGCCCATCCACCAGTCACTCAAACACGTGACAGACAGGATTTCTGGTCCAACTCCAGCCAAGGGCAGGAGGAGGGGGAGGCGATTGTCATGGGGGCTCAGGAAGGCTTCTAGAGCGCAGGGTAGAGCAGGTTTGGGAGCAAACACAAGGAGGTTCCCTCTATGCCACAGCTATTACATGCCACACACTCGACCCCCTGTGAATCCTCCAGCAAGCCCAGGAAGTGGGTCTCAAAGGAGTGCAATTGGTCTATGCCACACCTAGTCATGGCACACCTACTGGGAGCCAGTGACTGCTCGCACAGATCCAGCCCTGGGAAGCTCAAAGCATAGAGCAGGAGGCAGACAATTAAATAGTCTTCAGCGAAGTCACTTTTTCAAGCAAGTAAAAGGCATAATTATAATAGCTAACATTTATATAGCAATTATTGTGTGCGCTTTCTCAATTTCCTTACATGTAAAATGGGGGCTCTAATAATACCTACTTCCTGTGGCAATTAAATAAGTTAACATATGTAAAGCATCAAGGCAGAGCCTGGCATACAGTTAGGGCTCCATACAGGACACCTTCACTGCCATCATTTACTTGGTCCTTCCAACGACGCTGGAAAGTTTTTAAGTGAAACTTGTAATTCCAGGCTGGCCTGGAACTCCTGGGCGAAAGTGATTTTCCGCTTCAGCCTGGAGAGTAGCTGTAACGACAGGCATGCACCATGTTTGGGTGGGAAAGCTGAAATCCATAGACGTTATAAGACTGGAAAAGCAGAATGTTCTTGGACAAAGAGAACACAGGGTTTGAAACTTGGCTCCACCTCTCACTGCTGTTAGTTTAGACCGATTGAATGTCTCTGCCTCAGTTTCTTCACCTGCAAAGTGGTGTAATAACTACCTTCAAAGCGTGCGACACTGTCTTAAAAGCGGCCATCATTCTCCAAGTGCAGCCACGGGGTCTCGGAGCTAGGGGGCGCCGGGACGGACCGGGTCAAAGGGGAAAGCCTTCCCCCGGGGCCTCCGGCTCAACATCCCTCTCACTTCTCGCCCCTCCAGGTTATGTCCCGCACTGCCTGCCCACAAGCAGCTACGATGGCGACCAGAAGCCAGGCCTGGAGCTGGCGCCGGCCGAGCCCGCGTACCCGCCCGCGGCGCCGGAGGAGTACAGCGACCCCGAAAGCCCGCAGTCGAGCCTGTCCGCGCGCTACTTCCGCGGGGAGGCGGCCGTGACCGACAGCTACTCCATGGACGCCTTCTTCATCTCAGACGGGCGCTCGCGACGGCGGCGGGGCGGGAGCGGCGGGGATGCGGCGGGCGCGGGGGACGCCGGGAGCGCCGGGGAGCGCGCGGGGCGCACGGGGGCGCCGGCGGGCGGCGGGCACCGGCACGCGTGCGCCGAGTGCGGCAAGACGTACGCCACGTCGTCGAACCTGAGCCGCCACAAGCAGACGCACCGCAGCCTGGACAGCCAGCTGGCGCGCAAGTGCCCGACGTGCGGCAAGGCGTACGTGTCCATGCCCGCGCTCGCCATGCACGTGCTCACGCACAACCTGCGCCACAAGTGCGGCGTGTGTGGCAAGGCCTTCTCGCGGCCCTGGCTGCTGCAGGGCCACATGCGCTCGCACACCGGCGAGAAGCCTTTCGGCTGCGCGCACTGCGGCAAGGCCTTCGCCGACCGCTCCAACTTGCGTGCGCACATGCAGACGCACTCGGCCTTCAAGCACTACCGCTGCCGCCAGTGCGACAAGAGCTTCGCGCTCAAGTCCTACCTCCACAAGCACTGCGAGGCCGCCTGCGTCAAGGGTGCCGAGCCTCCCCCGCTGCCCCCCGCTGGCCCGGCCAGCTGAGCCTCTCGCCCGGCCGGGGCGCCGGAACTTGCTCTCCACGCGCCCCGGGCCCCCCACCTGCGTCCGCAGCGCCCTCTCCAACCCCCAGCTGCGTTTCCCTGCCCACGCCCCTCGCGGCGACCCCCATCCTGGCCCGGAAGTTTGTTCTTCAGCCCCCAAACTCACACCTCAYTTCTGGAACTGTCTCCCCCAGCGGGCCCTATCCATACCATCCTTTCCTGTCACCGCTTGGACCTTGACTCCACTGTCCGCCTTCAAGGCTCCCAACTCAGGCACCAGGTCCGCAAGTCTCCCAGGTCCCCATTCAGACCTTGCACCGCTCTTTCAGACCTTTCTTCTCAACAAAGTCTCTGACCATTCCTCTCTTGAAGTCCCCACATCGAAGGCCTAAACCCACCCACGTTTGCCACAGTTTCCCCTAATCACATTAACTCAGGCCCGGAAGAACACAGTCAACCCCAGGCCATGCCCTGGGCCTCTCTGCTGGGTCTCCCCGTGTATTTCCACCTGGGGATCTAGGTTGAGAACCCTCCTTTGGGTCTCAGTCTGTTCCATCCCCTCCATGCCAGGGCCTGAGATCTAGCTATTCACTCACCCCCACCCCTTCCATTTCTCACCTTTAATCTTGGGGGGGGGGTCCTCACCACTCATCCCCACTTCCTGCTCTCTCCGGATCCCCTCCCTCTAGAGCTCTCATTCCCTGACTTTACCTAACCTAGAGCGGACCTGAGGGGCAGTTCAGGGCCCTGCCCCCTCATGTAGCCCATGTCCCCAGGACAACCCCTCCCTGGGCTTCAGCCTGGAGTTACCCACTCCCCAGATTCTCTGAGCACTTTCCTCCATCCCCAGGACTACAGGTACCCCTCCTTATTTTCGGAATGGGGGACGCCTGGAACGCCTCACCAACGTCCCCAACCTTTGTCCAGCTGGGCCCTTCCAATTATTTATTTGTGTATTTATTTATCTATTTATTTATCTATTTATTATTCTATTTATCTCTTGGCCTCACCCAGGGACAGTCTGACTTCCCCAGCTGGACTGGGGGGTCAGGGAACCAGGCAAGGAAAGGGACAGCAAAGGCTGCCCCTCCCCTCCCCTCCACCACACACACACACACACACACACACACACACACACACACCCCTTCTGGTCTCGGGAGAAGCCCCACCCTCATCAGAGCCTGCACTCAATAAGGAAGAGGGCCCCAGAATGAGAGGGGAACCTGCTGACCCTCAACTGGCAGGGAGGGGCGGGCAGGGGGCACCAGGAGATCCTGTCACGGGGCAGGTCCCCGCCCTCCTGAGTCTTCCACTCCTGCCCCAGGGAGCCCGGAGAGAGGAGCCTCCTCGTTTTCTTATTTATTCCTCTTCTCGAGGGACCCCAGGTTCCAGGGACCGACTGAGCCCCGGACCCCTCTGGGGCCCGCTCCCCGGGAGGAGCGCTCTCTCCCGGCCACGTCTATGCAACTCTCCCGGGCAGAGGGCCTAGGGCTGCCAGCCGCCCGCCCGTTGGCTGCCACTACCTCCTCCGCCGCGCTTTTGCATGCCCGCGTGAGGACCGAAGCACACACCTCCACGCGCACGGGCCCTGGCGCCCTCTGCTTTAAGCACACGCCTCTGCCCCCTTCGCTCTGCGCCCAGCTTGCGGGCGAGTCCTGGACTCTCCCACCCCTCCCCCTCTCTAGCCGCAAAAGAGGGTGGAGACTGGCGCGGCCCCAGCTGCAGGGGCCCCTCTCCRGGGCTTCAGAGAGGTGGGCGGAGCTTTGTCCTGCTCCAGGCCCCCCGGGAAGGGAGACTGCGGGGATGGTGGGAGAGAGAGGGGTCGCAGAAGCAATTATGGAGGGTGTTGACCCTGTAAATAGGAACTTCTGACAGCAATAATTTTCCATGCATGCTAAGCCTTTTGGCCATATTTTGTATGAGCGCTTGGCGCTCCCCCTCCCTCCCCCTCCAACTCATCCCCAGACCCTCATCCCTTGCCCACCTTCAGCAGTATTACTTGTAACACAATTCAGGGATATTAAAGGGACTTTGGCCACTTGCCAGCGCCTCCAGATCTTGTGATTGTGGGGTAGGGGCGTCTGAGAGAGAGCTGGATTTTCCCATTCCATTCCCCCTCTCTGGAAACTGACCAGCCTGTAGCTGCCACCTGGGGTTCCCTGCGTGTGCAAGTCCCAGGCATTCTCAATCCCAAATATACTTCAAAGAAGGGTTCAAGAGCCACATTAACAACAAGTGAATGAAGCCAGTCCCCGGARGACATTAGGGAACGGTGGAGCCTGTGACTAATTGGAAAGAGTGTGTCTCCCCTCCAACAACTGCAGTTTGAATTGCACCTGACAAACAAAGCCAGCGGTGGGCGTGTTTGTGCCTGACAGCCCGTTGATAACCCATTTTCTTCCCCACTTTATCCCCAGATCCACACATGTATATGGTCAGGCGTGCAGCAAATGCAGGCATATAAAACTGTTGGCTTTGGCTCAGCAGTCAACTAAAACCGGCAAGATGCCCCTAAAGCTTTTGAGCTACCTGTCACCAAAAGTTCAGGAAGCTGTCGAACAACCAGATTCTTGGTGGATCTTTCAAGATACAAATCTGTCCTTGCCTTACTAAAAAACTTCACTGAAGCTCAGTAGTAGAGTGCTTGCCTGGTGTGCCTCAGGCCCTGGTTTGAGTCTAGAAACACCAAAAACAAACAGAAAAACAACCTCAGTGGGACCACAATCTCYGGCCACTAGCCCCCAGTCCCAACACAGGCTCACCAAGAAGTTGGGCCCRTGTGCCTTGAGGGGGTGTTTGGCCAATGCCAGGCTGGACCTACACCTCTGCTGGGCCTCCTTGGGGTTCCTCCTTTTCTAGCAGGGCACTCACTTTTTAACCCCTCGCCCTGGTGCCCTTCACACACTTCAAGACAGGTGCTGCTCCCTGAGAAGTGTGCTAGGTGTTGCCACCAGCAGATGTAGGGCTGGGGCTGGGGCTCAGTGGCAGAGCGCTTGCCTCGCAGGTGTGAGGCACTGCAAAAATAAATAAATAAATAAAATTAAGGCATGCTGTCCATCTACAACTACAACAAAAGCTAAATAAGAGCAGAATAAATGGTAATGGTATCACATAAAATAATAATAATAATAATAGCAGATGTGGGGCCACCTCCAGTCCCCAATGGGGTCTTGAGGGGCAGGGCACCTGTTGTATTCTTCAGCCCTCCACTTATAGCCCTCTGACCTGCACACCGTCCTAATCAGCTGTTGCTTCCATTCTATTTATTTTAGGGGCAGGGAAGGGAAACCACTCTAGATCAGGTCTTATATGCATGTATGAGATCCCTTTGAAGCAGAAAATGTTTAATACAAGGAACTGGCTGCTGACTAAACTGAACTGACAGATGTAACATCCTCAGCTGGACATCCAGAACTCTACATCAGAAGTCCTGTAGCCAGGAGAGCTACTTCCCCTTCCACAATAAGAAACAGAGGGGAGTCTGCAACGCAACTCTGAGTTCAAGGCCACAGCACAGGACACACGAGAACACAGGGTCCGCATCCCTGGTCAGCACCAGAGATGGGGAAGCCCCTGCCACTGGCTGGGTGGCCATCTCCCATCCCCCACTGTGCTGTGGCTCAATGCTGCAATGCAGCTACAGAGCTCTGCAGCATCTCCAGGGCCATCCTCAGAGTAGCAAGAGTCAAAAGCCGTAGGAATACGGTCCCTGCCCACTTCTGCCATCCAACTTTCATGGGAGCGCGTCCAACTGGCAGAAGTTAATTCACTACTAGTAACCTTGCCGCAAAGCAGCCTGGGAAATGAAGTCAGCTCTCCTCCCAGGCATCTGGAAGGCACCCTACAGGGAGGTGGGAATGGTTGCTGGTGCCCCCCAGCAATGTCTAGCCCAGTTTCAGGGATGCAACACCCACTCCATCCCTGTCCCTCCCTGATTAGCAGCCATGCAGTCTGGGGACTGACATCAGCTGAAGAGATGGTCTTGACTGGTCTATGAGTAAAACCATCCCCCATGCGCTCAGAAGGGCATGTGAACCACGTCTGACCAATGAGATTTCAGAAGAGGATTCTGGAAGCTCGTGGAAAACTTTACTGCTGCCTTTCCCCTCCCTCTTTTTGTTACTGGAAGCTGAACACAGAAGCACTTTAGCGCTGAACTGCATCCCACATCCCCATACCTTTTTCAAGTTTTTGAGACAGGGACTGACTAAATGGCTGAGCCTGGCCTCGAACTTGTGATCCTCCTGCCTCAGCCTCCTGAGATCACCCTCACTGGGATGACTGGTATGTCACCAAGCCTGCTGCTTCCTCTATCTTAAAAGAAAGGTAGTCCAGGGCTGGGATTGTGGCTCAGTGGTAGAGCGCTCGCCTAGCACGGGCCGGACCCAAGTTCGATCCTCAGCACCACATAAAAATAAAAGGCATTGTGTTGTGCCCATCTACACCTAAAAAATAAATATTAAAAAAAAAAAAGGAAAGGTAGTCCAGTCTCTCTTCCCCTTGAACATGAACAGGGAAGCATGTCTCCTGACCATAAAGGGAACCAGCCTTCGCCCGAAGCCTACACCATGAGTGATACAGCAGGGCCATGGAGAGAGCCTGGGTCCTTGGTGACCTCAGGGAGAAAATGAAAGACCACCCTGAAACTGCACCATCTGTGAGGAGTGGCTTTATTGTTTAACCATTTTGTTTGCTCATCCTAGATGTGGATGCCTATGAAAACTTAAATGTAGTATATAACGTATAATGTATAATGTAATTACCCAAGAGTAAGAATATAATTATAATATTAGTATATATCCAGGGCTTGTGCGTATCATCAGTCATAATAATCAGCTCTCGGTGATGATGTCCAACCTATGTTGATGCCCCTGTGTCGATTTCATCAAAATATTCACAAAACTGAGTGGTTAAGGGGTTCTGTCGGCTGAACAGGGGCCCTGTTACCTGCAGCCCAGGGCAGCTCAGCTGGAGTAGGGATGCTGTCCCCTTTCACGGTTCCCTGGAAGAAGCAGCAATTCTCCTCCAGCGATTCCGCCCCTGAGTGGTGTCAGCATCACCCAGACTGAACAATCTCTRAACTCACTTTTCCTGGAGGTGCAGCTTCACCCACCAGCAAGGGGCAGCCTGTCACCATCAGCTGGTTCACTTTGGCTTCTGTCACTTGCAAAGAAGAGTCTGGACTAACGCCTCAAAACTACTCTGGAAGTGCAGACGTGGAGATGGCCGAGATCTGTTCGTCATTTAAAATGTTCAGGATGCTTTGCGCTTTCCCAAGGACTTGACTTCACATCAATTCTTCTTATATCTCCAAGACCCCTCAGATGAGGGGACATCATGCTGTCCACTTTGCAATCAGGAAACCGAGGCACAAACAGGTGCCTGGCCCGAGATCACGCACCTGAGTTTTAAGCCAGGCAAGGTGCAGAGCCAGAGGCCGTGACCCCACGTCACCTGCCCCTTCGCCTCAGTTTTGGCTCCCTGATAGCAAAGTCTGGGTCTTGAGTGCCAGGTGTTTACATGGGGGGACCCCAGAAGGCAGAAATGAGGGGCAAGAAGAATAGGGCCGAGGGTGTGTTAGTGAGGCCACTGTTGTGGCCAAGGGCTGCCTACTGCTGGTCTCGGAGAAGGTTCTAGAAAGGTCCAAATGGTCTAGAACACTCCTCAAGTTGCCCACCTGGGATGGCCGAGATCAGCACCTGGAGAACACCTGCTGTCCCCCTCTGGTATGTGCCTGTGTGTGGGCAGAGCTCCCCAAGGATGGAGATGTGGGGACACAGGGGCTCAGGTCTGAGCTTGCATGGAACTTCGCAGCACAACTGCAGATGAAATCAAAGTGAGTCGAGGGGCAGCCAGTGACAGCAGGCCTGGTGTTCATCGGACATCTGCCCATTGCGTAGCCATGTGCAGGTGGCTCGGAGCAGGCTAACCCCAGGAGGATGACTAAGGGGTCCCCTCTCAGCCCCCACAGTCATCCCAAAGAGTACCAGGCCCCTGCACCCCTGTTTAAGCAGCTCCGCACATGGCATGTCCCAGGAGGATGTGAGTAATCTTGGACAGTCACATGACTCAAGCTGGCCGATCAGACTGAACGGAGGAAGGATTTCATATCACCATTGCTGGGAATGGATTCTCTCTTTCCTCATGGATGTGAACAAAGACGGAGATTGTCCCGTTGGCCCTGGAACTCATCTTGTGACCACAAGAAGCAGCAATGGAAGAGCAAACCTGCCTCAGCACCCCAAGGAGCTGCTCAGCGTGCACCCAAGATCCCAGAGGAAGAGGCAACTCTTCTACGTGAAATTAAAACAGAACTTAGGAGGTCAGCAGAGGGGACGAAGATGGAGAGGAAAACAGGGAGACAGGGGTCCGCGCAGGATAAGCATGACGGCTCTGGTGGCTCCCGCCTGTGATTCCAGCAGCTCGGGAGGCTGAGGCAGGAGGATCGCAAGTTCAAAGCCAGCCTCAGCAACTTAGTGAGGTCCTAAGCAACTTAGCGAGACCCTGTGACTCAGCCACCAAGTCTCCCAGCTGCTGAGTCACCTCCCTGCCATGGCCCAGACACTGGAGAGAAGAAACACTAGTCCCCCGGGTTCCCGTCTGAGTCACTGACCCACAGAATCTGGGGATAATAAATGACTGTTTTACGCCACTGATTTTGGAGTGATTTATTTTGTAGCAATAAAAACCAGAACAGCTCCCAAATAAGCCACCCACACTCGTCCTTACCTCAGGGTCTGCTTTTGAGAGCATCCAACCTAAGGGACAATGATGTCGGGTAGATGTCAGAGTTTCTCCGGCTTCCGGTCCGGTTCTAGGCCTGTGAAGGCGAGATGCCCAATTCATCCCAACAAAAGGATGACGTCCAAGTCACATTGGCTTGGGGACACACAGACCAACATAAAGGAAATGCTGACTGGGCAGGGCAGGTCAAGTCCTCTGCCCCACCCCCATCCCCAGAAGATGGGGTTGCCTTGGCAACCACAGGGTCCTGAGAGTAGAGGGAAGGAAGAGCCCACAGGAGAACTAGGTTGCTGCTACCAGGCCTCCTCAATTCTGTTCTGAGATCGTGGGTCATGCATTTCAGGAAGGGCAAACCCTTTTGAGCCCAAAGGTGAACACCGGTCAAGCTAAGGCAAACATGGTAATTTTACTCCCCTTGCCAGGGATTGGTTTGGACATGGACATATAATTCTTGATCCTGAAGGGGCAGGAAGGGGAACAACAAATGATAGGTTTATTCACTCTTTAAAAAGAGGCATAAAGGAATGTCCTAACTTCCATCTTTAAATGTTATATAGTTATGTGATACTTGGAGCTACAGCAGCCACCTTGGGACCATGAGGGGTAAACCTAAGGAAAATGGCACCAAAAGATGAACAGAAGAACCTGGATTTTTGATGACACTTTTCAAATTTGGATACAGCCACCTCCAAGCTTTTGTTATGTGAGAAAACAATTTAAGCCATTGTGACTTGGGCCCTGGGTGTCTCAACATAACAGAATTTGATACCAGGATCAGGGCCTCACTGAGGAGGCCCCCAATGACAGAATTGGGTCAAATCTCCACTTTTCCACTCCAGCAACTATGATCCTGCCTTCTTTACCTCCTATACTGAGGAAGTAGTTTGGGAAGGGACAGCTTCTCATTGAAATTTTCCAATTCTCCATAATCTTGGGGCTAAGGGGATCCGCTCTTTCTGAGATAGGGTGTGATTTAGTGCTCACAAGGATTATATTTGGGAACTGCAGAAAGGGAAAGGTCAAGGTCAAGTCGGACTTCAGGGTTCCAAAAGTTGGTGAGAGACCCATAATGCACCAGGAAGGAGCTCCGGCAGCTCAAACATCCAGCTGCATTCTCTGCTCACACAGCTTTGAGGGATGGGCAGTGTCGCCTCATTGTACAGATGGGGTTTAGAAGGTGTTCTAACAGAAAGGCCCCTGGCCCTTGAGCTTCACCCCACTCCCTGCACCTCTGGTTTTCCCCTGCTGCCAGGGTGGGTATTATGCACGAGTGTGTCCACAGGAAGAAAGCCAAGCCATCCACGTCCCTGCTTGGAGCTGGGGGCTAGGTGGCCTCCCCTTTGCCCTCAGATAACTTCTCATTTCAGCTGATCTACTTTGGACGCGTGTTCCGAAGCCATGCCCACTTCCTAGGTGGCGTTTGGATGATGGGATGGGACTCTGTGGAGCTCTGGGCAGCGACAGCACTGTCCAGAATGGCTCCTTGGGGCAGTTACTGGTGCTGAACAGGGAGCCAGCGGTGGAGCGGAAGGAGAGCGGCCTCCAGGGCCAGGTAGACAGGATTTGAGCCCTGGTTCCCCGTCACTTATCTAGCTCTGTGACCCAGGGTAAACCGTGTAAACTTCTCTGTGCCTCAGTTTCCTCTTTTGCAAAATGGGAATGATCATCGTCCCTACCTTGCTGGGCTTGTGGTGGGGGGGGGTAAATAAATCAACCCACCCGCAAAGTGTCCCGAACTGCGCCTGCACGTCAGTGCCACGTCCCTACCGTTCCTGGAGTCGCCACGGTCTCACCTCCGTGGCAGGCGTCCCCGAGGCTCCGACGCCGGGGGCGGACACGCCCGCGGTTTTGCCGACTCATCCTGGCTCTGCAAGTCCGGCCGCCGCCCCCTCCCGCCCCAGCGGGCCTGAGTCACCCTCGCTGTGCGTCACACTCGCTCCTCCCGCCACGCGACCTGCAAACTCACCCTGAGTCAGCCCGCCCGGGCGCTTCCACTCCCGGGGCCGCGGCCAGCGCCGGCGGAGGGGCGCCCCCCAGCGGAGACCCGTGATCGCGCGGGTCGCGGGCGCCGGGGGAGCGGGGCGTRTGCGGGTGGAGACCGCGGGGACCGGCCGGACCACTGCGGGCCCGGGGGAGGCGCCTGCCTGCGGCCCCCACCGGCGGCGCTGAGTGGTACGGCCCGGCCGGAGGTGAGGCCCGGGAGGCGGCTGGGCTAGCGGCGACCGCGCGATGGGGCTGCGCGCTGGCGGCAGGACCGGCGCCAGCCGGGGGGCGCCCGAGGGTCCCGGGTCGGGCGGCGGCGCGCAGGGCGGCAGCATCCACTCGGGCTGCATCGCTGCGGTGCACAACGTGCCGCTGAGCGTGCTCATCCGTCCACTGCCGTCGGTGCTGGACCCGGCCAAGGTGCAGAGCCTGGTGGACACGATCCGGGTGAGTCCCCGGGGAGGCCGTCCGCGAAGGGAGGGCTCGGGAGGAGGGAGGTCGCGCCGGACGCCAGGTGGGACTGGTTCCGGGCTCTCTCGGAGCCCAGCGTTGGCTGTGTGACCTTGAGCAAATGGCCGGGCCACTCTGGGCACTCTGTTTCCTCGTTTGAGCCAGGAGGGGATTGAAATAGATGATTAAAATAATGATCGCTAACTTATAAAGATAGCGCTTGCCGTGACGCAGGAGCTGTTTTAAGCCCTTAGCTTCTTGTGCCAACCCTGCGAGGCAGATGCTGTCCCTAAAAACGGAGGTACAGGCGGATTCCAGCAACTTATTCAAGGTCAGGCACTTGGAAAGTGGCGCAATGGGAATTCACACCCAGGCCGCCTGGCCCCAATACCCAGCTGGTGGCCACCACCCTATCCAAAGATAAGCCATGACTTCCTTCCACCTGTGGCAATGGAACTAGGTGTGTCATGTCCGTGGGAGGGCCCTGTCTGGAGGAGAAATGGGAGAGGACAAGGGTCAGCTTCATCCCAGAGACACAGTGCTCAGCAATGCGGGAGTGGAGCCCTGGCTGGGAGACAGGGCGACTGGGCTCCGATTGGGAGGCGGAGGCCTCTGAGCAGTTTAGCAAGATCCTGGCTCAAAAAAAAGTTCACAGTCTGGGGGTGTGGTCCGTGGGAGCCCAGACACCTAGCTGGTGCGAGTCCCTGGGCTGCATCCCCAGTCCTGCCAAAGGCAAAAGAGGGCTGGGGTGACCCTCCCTGCAGGAAGGGGGACACTCAGGAATATGTGTCACATTAGGCCAGGTGGCTTCCTGTCCCCTTCTCCCAGACCCTTGGAAAGTGAGGGATGGAGGAAATGAGGGGTGGGGACACTTCTAAACCCCACCAAACACCTATACAGCCAGCCCCGAGTCCTAGAGTGTGCACTCTGTCCCCACTGCCTAGAGCCACCGCTGCGGATAGCCACAGCACCTGCTCCGCCGCTTGCCCTAGGTCTCTGTCCCCTTGACCACTTGCAGATGGAGCCTCTTGCTCCCCCGTTATCCTGAGGTGTTGTGGATAGCACTCACGTCCACCAGAAATTGTGTGTTGTATTGTTCTGTCTCCGTTGTGTGAACTCCCCAGGAGCAGGGACTCTGTGGTCTTGGCTGTGGCCTCAGCCCTGCCCCAGGACCTGGCTCTCAGTGGAGGAGGTCCAGCCCTGCACACCCTCCCCACTGCTGGGCCTCTGTGGGGCCTCTTTCCCTACGGAAAACTCTTGTGCATAGCCTCTGCCTCTCCCTCAGGGTCAGCCTCTTTCCTGCCCTCCCTTGCTGGATTAGGGGTCCCCTGTGTCTGGAAGCCCCCTGTGACCCCACCAGCATAGCTGTGGTCCCCCTGGTTGAGACGCCCATCTCTGGTGCTAAACGGTAGCCTGGGTGAGGCAAGGACCGGCCTGCCTCCGCTAACTTTCCTCCTGGACTCATTTTCTACGGCCTCCATAGCCCGCTGAGGTCCTGTTTTCCAGTCCTGTGGTTCACAAGTCCAGAGTGGGTTCCACTGGGCTGAAATAAGGTGTCAGTGGGGCTGTGTTCTGGAGGCTCCCGGGAGAGTCCGTTTTCTTGCTTTTCCAACTGTGACACTGTGAGGCTGTCCGCGCTCACTGGCTCTTGGCTATTTTTGTTGTTGTTTGTTTGGGGGTTGAGCCTGGAGGCGCTTTACCATTGAGCCTCATCTTTGTCCTTTTTGATTTTTTTATTCTGAGACAGAGTCTCACTAAGTCTCTTAGGGACTCGYGTAATTGCTGAGGCTGGCCTGGAACTTGAGATCCTCCTGCCTCGGCCTCCCGGGCTGCGGGGGGGTTACAGACGTGCCCCTGTGCCCGTGACTCACGGCCTCTCCACATTGCTTCACTCCCAGCCTCCACTTGTGCCACCCTCCTCCACTCCTAAAAACCCTGGTGAGTCCCTTCAACCCATCTGGGTCATCCCACCATGACCTTCTGTCTTAAGATCCTGACCTTAAGTCCATCTGCAAAATCCTTTCTATCCTGTAGGGTGACATATTCACAGGCTTTAAGGATTAGGACTTAGACATCTGCAGGGATCCTTATTGTGCCCACCCACTATCCACCTGCAGGGCGGTGTAGACGCTTCCACTAACATCTCTCGGGCACCCACTCACCACCTCCTGAGCAGCCACCCTGGTGGGTGCCTCAGTCCCACCTATGGGTGAGCCGCAGTGTTCAGAGTTGAGGCCAATGCACAGGATCCCCGGCCGCTCAGAGCTGAGACCAAATCTGGGTTTTCCTGGTCCCAGAGCACTGGCTTGTGACCGCGTGCCTCATGCTCACTGGGGCAACATGGGGTCGTGAACCATCAGCCAGCTCCAGAGGGGTCCTGCGGGCCAGTGGCAGAGGCCTTGCTTCTAGGCCAGTCCCACTTCTCAGGGTCTCCCTAGCGTGCTCCCCCGGCTCCCTGCTCTGCCCCAGGCTCTCCCCACCTAGAGGACACCCACCCGATGCTCGGGCCCTACTGGGAAATCGCCTTCGACCCTCCTCTTTCTCTCGCCCTCCTAGCCACCCTCTCTGCCTGACGCCTCCGACCTGCCTCCTACACAGGTCCCAGAGCTGTGCCCTCTCCCGCTCCCCGCACACCAGCAGCCAGGACAGCATCTTCTGCTGACCACCTCTGGAGGCCTCTCCTCTGTCCACCCTGCTAAGTGGGCTCTGGGCACATTTCTAGAATGGCATCCCCTCAGGTTCAAAAAGCTCCAGCCCTCCAGGTGCAATGGGGCCTGCCTGTAATCCCAACCGCTCTGGAGGCTGAGACCGGAGGTTCGAAAGTCCAAGGCCAGCCTCAGCCATTTAGTGAGGCCCTAAGCAACTTAGGGAGACCCTGTCTCAAAATTAAAAATAAACAGAGCTGGGGATGTGGCTCCAGGGTTGAGCACCCCCTGGGTTCCATCCCTGGTACAAAAACAAACAAGCAAAAACCTCCTGACTGCACTCCTTCACTCRGCCTCATCTGGCTTCTGCTTGACCTCTCTGATCGCTCGGCCTCCTTGATGCTTTGAGTCCACTCTGGTCACACTGGCCTCCTCCTCATGCCTCCACCACAGCAGTCCCACCCCAGGGTATTGCGTTTGCTCTTCCTGCTGCCTGGAATGCTGTTCCTCAGGTAGGAGCCAGCAGACATTATGGCCSGTGGAACCCTGGAGCTGCAGGAGGTGTGTCTGAGTCTCCATCCCCATTTGACAGACAGGGCGACTGAGGCACCAGTGAACAGCCTGAGTCGCCGAGCTCTGAACCCAGGCAGTTCATCTAAACTGCTCCCACCGCTGGCTTCCCAGATGCATCTCTGTGTCACTGTCCCCTCTCAGAGCCCTCAAGGACCCCTTCCCTGTCTTGTCACCTGCATTATTGTCTTCCTAGCCCTTACCACGCAGCGATCCCTTCTTGGCTCCACCTGTCCCAGTAACCCACAGCCCCGTGTGCACAGGGACTGTGTCTGTCTTGGCTGGGCCTCGTCCCCAGGGTCTAGGACAGGGCCAGATGTGGAGTGTAGGCAAGTGACTCCCCACCGGGGCTCCTGGCAGCTGCCCACTGCCCTGGCGTGGACCCTCTCCCGAGCCTGAGGCTCAAGCTGCCCTCGTGGCGCCTCCAGCCTGCACACCCTGGCCTCGCCTGCCCTCCCGCGTGAGCTCCCTGTTGGAGCGCCACTCTGGCCTGGGGCCGTGCTCACTGCCCTGTGCCCTTCTCTGCAGGAGGACCCGGACAGCGTGCCCCCCATCGACGTCCTCTGGATCAAAGGGGCCCAGGGGGGCAACTACTTCTACTCCTTCGGGGGCTGCCACCGCTATGCCGCCTACCAGCAGCTGCAGCGCGAGACCATCCCTGCCAAGCTGGTCCAGTCCACCCTCTCGGACCTGCGGGTGTACCTGGGGGCCTCCACTCCCGACCTGCAGTAGCAGCCTCCTCCCACCCCAGGAGCCCAGAATTCCATCAGGCCCAGCAGGCGGGGCCACGCAGAGGGCAGAGGGCGCAGCAGGGATGTGTGTGGCTTCTTTGTGCCTGGGGGGACCGTCTGACTCTGGCTCTGCCTTTGCTGATGGCCAGGCCTTGGACTCAGGCAGAACAGGGTGGGAGCCCCAGTTGTCACCTCTGAAAGTATGACCGTGGCCTTATCCTCCAAGGACTGTTGAAGATGAAAGGAGAAAAGAGATGGACTTGGAGAGCTTCGAGCTGCTGGGCTCCAGAGTCCCAAGGACAAGGCCCTTCTCAGACTCTTCATGACACCTTGCTCTGTGATTACATTCGGCTGCAAGTAAAGGAAAGCCCAGGTTCCGGTTAACAAGGAGAAGTTTATTTTTCCACACAGCACGAATTCTGGAGACAAATGGCCCAAATGGTGTCTTCAACAGCGCAGTGAAAGCAGGGCTTATGTCTCTGTGATCCTTTTGCCCTGTCCTCCTTGTTTGCTACTTCATGGTCACAAGATGGCTGCTGTGTCTCCAGGAATCATGTCTGTCTTTAAGGGAGAGGTGCTGCTAAAGAGGAAGGGACAGGTCACCTGGGCTGTCAACTTCTACCAGAAAGTAAAACCTCTTCCAGAGGCTTGGGTCCTGCCTGCCCTCTCCCCTGCATCTATCTGCTTAGGGTCTCCTGGGCCGGCCGTACGTAACTGCAAAGAAAGGTAAGGCAGCAGGGAACAGAACTGTCATGGTTGAGCACACCAGTCATGTCCCATCTTCTGAGACCGGCATGTTGCCTGCTGAAATAAAATTGGGATGCCAGGAGAGAGGAGGAGCAGGGTATTGGTGAGACTTCACTGTGTCAGAAGCCTTCCRTCCTCAGCAGCCCAAAAGTTATTTCTTTACGCATAATTCTGTGGGTTGGCAACTTGGGCTGGGCAGCTCTGGGGTCCTGCCTGGGGCTGTCCTCAGCTGTCACCTAAGCCGGGGCTGGATGGGCTGGGTTAGCCCTACTTGCTTGTCAGGCAGATGACTGGCTGTTGGCCGGGGTAGCTTGATTCCATTTCAACAGGCTAACTCAGGCTTGTTCACCAGATTTTGGCCTCCAGATTCCAAAACAGTGAGAACTAGAACTTCTAGAACTCTAGATTAGGGACTGTGACAGTGTCACTTCTAGGTTCTTTTGATCAGAGCAAATCGCAAGTCTTTGTCCAGAGTCAAAGGATAGAAACCACTACCCCTCTCCTGGCTGCCGGGAACTCAGAGAACTTGGGGCCATTGTTCCTCTATCACAAATAGGTGTCAAATAACTCCTCCTTCTCTCTCTCTCTCTCTGTCTCCCCACACACACCTTGGCCAGTCTTATGTCACTAAGACGATGTCCTGGTCCTCAAAGTCTAGGGGACGAGGTGATAAGGCAGAATCTGGGTCTCCAAGGGCCAGATCCACTCTAGTATGGGCATCTCGTCAGCATGGGTGAGATGAGATTGGCCACGTGGAACATTCCAGAAGAATTCCAGAAGTTTGCAGAGTGAGGTGGGGCTTGCTCTCGCTGGCCTTAGGCAACTCAGCCACTTGGCAACTCCAAGCCTCAGTTTCCCCAGCTCAGTAGTGAGGACAACAGCTTTCCCCATCCATTGGGGAATAGGATTGGAAAGGTACAGAATGCAGTATGGCATCCTGGATTAGATCTTGGAACAACGATGACAACCCAAAACAAAAGACATTAGCAGAACAGCTGGGAATCTGATGATAAAGTCTGGATGTTAGTTAATACTATACCAATGTCGGCCTTGGTTTTGGCAAATGTACTGTGGTCATCCGAGAAGTCAGTTTATTGTGAAGCTGTTGGGGCGAGCTGGGTGGAGAGGGTGGGATCTCTTTGCACTATCTCTGTACCTTTTCCATAAGTCTAAAGTCATTCCAAAATAAACGTTTATTTAATAAAATTAGGGCTGCAGTGGCCTTAGTTGGTTCGGACGCTCAGGCTGGATTGGTGGACTCCACCCCAGCAGGTCCGTTGACTCCGCTCAAGAATGTGCATGGCTAACAAATTCCTGGGTGATGCCAATCTGCTKCCTAGGGACCTCAGGCTGAGAACGGCTGATTTAGACTGCCTCGGTTATTTTCCAATACGGTGACACCCCACACCTCCTTGGTGGGGCCCAGGAGATCTGGGTTCTGAACCAGCTGGTGGACCCACTCGATGGGTGACATTGGGCATGTCTTTGCCTTCCCTGGAGGGTTTCCCCCAGCTGTCAAATAGACCGTCTGCCCCTAAGTGTGCAGGGAGGACGTGTCCCGTAAACTGCTGCTTTGAGATGCCGCTGCCTTGCATGAATGAGCCCCTCAGGCCTCCAGGCTGAAGTAAGTGAGCCTGGCCTCTCCCTTCTGAAAGGACTTTTCCTTCTTGTAGAGAAGACCCAGCCAGGCAGGCCCTGAGTGGGTGGTGCAGAACACATCAGGTCACACTTAGGAGGAGCTGGGGTTTTAAGGGTGTGACCTGATGGTGCTCCCGAGGCGGCCTGAGAGCTGCATTTCCCACTTAGACCAGCAGGTGGTGCTGCTTCCCAGCCCCACAGAGCAAGGCTGGGCCTCTGGCCCACAGATCAGCTGCTGGCTGGAAGGGCCTGGCCAGGGACAGGCAGGCCACTGGGGCTCAGAGAAGCTGGGGACCTCTGGGGACCTCGCTGGGAGTCTGGAGTTTCGGGTTCTGTTCATCCCTTCTGCACTTGCTCTGTGGCTTTACACATGTCATGGACCCTTCCAAAAGGAGGCACTTCCTCCAAGAAGCTTCTAGACCTTTCCAAGATGGGCTCTGGTGCCTCTTTGGGGCTCCCATGATCATGTGGGTCCCTTCCCCAAACAAACCCCTGCCCCCAGGAACTTGGATGCAGTGAAGGCAGTGTGTGGGGAACCCCTGAGGCCCCTCCATGCTCTAGAACCCACAGATGGCAGATTTTAAATCAGTTTTAGAATTCATAGCTACTTAGTTATATTTAGTTCCACAGTTATATTTAGGTTAAGATAAAACAATAAGGTATTGAAATGTTAAATAAATAAAATTTAAAAAATTAAAATATCAAAGCCCTCCATGAGTGCTGGTCCTGGTTGTCCCTGGGCCCTTTGGGGACATTTACCTTCAGGGATTAGGCTGTGCCCTTCCTGCCTTCCATCTGCCCTTGCAGTAGTGAACATGTGCGAGTTCCCTTGTAGATTGCCCCTGGCAGCGTGCCCTGGCCACCTGCCCCATTGGCACCGTGCTCTTCTCCCAGAGTTCCCGCAGTCTGGTCTCTGCCCAAAAGTTACTTCTTCTGAGGGGCTTTCCCCCATCACTCTGTCCCTGTCCCAAGTTTTATTTTCTCCATAGCTTTTATCACTCTCTAAAATGATCCTCTGTGTCTGTTCCTATCTGCCTCACCCACTAGAATGTGGATTAGTAGTGGTACTAGTAGTAGTACCAGGGATTGAACCCAGGGATGCGTAACCACGGAGTTACATCCCCAGCCCTTTTTATACTTCATTTTGAGACAAGCACACCCTAAGTTGCCTAGGACCTCACTGAGTTTCTGAGGTTGGCCTTGAACTTGTGATCCTCCCGCCCAAGCCTCTATGATCAGCTGGGATCACAGGTAAGTGCCACCGTGCCTGGATAAGGATTCTTGAGGCAATACCGGGCCTGTGTAAGAAGCCAGCCAGTGCTTCTTACCCTTTTTTTGTTGGGGGAGGGCAGGGATTCATGAACATAGCCGAGAACTAGAGAAAGCCTTGAGCCCTTCCCCCAGGAAAACATAGACATATTTCGGGCAATCTCTGGGGCTCCCTGTACCTGATCGCCTGCTCCCCCGCGGGATCCTGATTCCAAACCTAATTGTCTCATGGGGTGGGGGCACATGCAGACGGGGTGTGTGAATGAATTAATGAGCTCTAGTTTCTTTTTTTTTTTTTTTCTTTTTATATCAGGGATTGAACCCAAGGGTACTTAACCACTGAGCAACAACTCTAGCCATTTTTACTTTAAATTTAGAGACAGGGTCTCACTAAATTGCTAAGGCTGGCTTTGAACTTGCAGTCCTCCTGCCTTAGCCTCCCGACCAGCTGGAATTACAGGCATGCAGCACGGGCCTGGCTGGGCTCTAGTTCTGTAGGGAGTAGAGGATAGAATTCAGACTGTGACCTGCTTCCTGTCAGAAAAAAAAAAAAAAAAAAAAAAAACCCTCTCTGGGTGGTTTCTGCCCTTCCTTAGCCCCTGTCAGTCAATACCAAGGAGGGACTCCACCTGGTCCCTGGGCCCAGCCTGGGCAGTTCCACCTGCCAGTGCTGGAGGAGACAAGCCCAGCCTGGCATCCAGGATCAGATCAGGGAACCGAGGAGAGGTCCTGGCTGCCCTGGGTTGGAAAGGACCAAAGACATCCATCCCTGCCTCTAAACTCTTACACTGTGGATTACAAACCACACTCACTTCCAGGGTCCCTCCCAGCCCCTGGCCCCAGCCCTCCCACAGAGCAGGAAGTGAGGACCCACTCATCATAAAAAGGATGTCTTGCCGGTCGTGGTTGCGCAGAGCTGTCATCCCAGCCTCGGGAGGCTGAGGCAGGAGGATCGTGAGTTCAAAGCCAGCCTCAGCAAAATCGAGGAGCTAAGCAATTCAGTGAGACCCTGTCCTACATAAAATACAAAATCGGGCTGGAGATGTGGCTCGGTGGTCAAGTGCCCCTGAGTTCCATCCTCAGTGCCCCCTCCCCCGAAAAGAGCCGTCTTCATCCCCCCTCCCCCTATCCCCACCCCCAGGCTGCCCTCTCCCGTCACCTGCACCAGCACCAGCAGCAGGACCTCCCTGACTGCCCTAGTGGAGCCCCAGAGCAGACCCGAGAGGTGACCAGGTACCAGCAATGACCTTCCGTTGGACAGACGGGTAAACGGAGGCCCAGGCAACCTGCTGCGGCCCCCCACCCGGACCCGCGGCCCGGCGCCCGCCCCGCCCCCCGCGGCTGCCCGCGCTGCCTGGCCCCTGACCCCGCGGCCGCCAATCCATTGGTTCCAGCTCCGGGGGGAGCGCAGAACAAAGCGCGCTTTGTGGCGGCCCGTCCCCTGGCCCCGCGCGTCCGCCGCCGGGAGCCTCCGGAACTGGGAGCGCCGCCCGCGGCCGACAGCCGTGTAATGTCTTCCAGGCCGCCCGCCACCAGCCGGCCCGGCCGTCGGGCGCCCCCGGGAGGCTCTGCGGGCGCCCCAACCTGCCCCGCGGGCGGCGGGAGGCGGCCACCTGGTAACCTGTCCCCGACCCTCGGCACCGATCGCAGGCGGCGCTGCTGCTGCTGCTGCCCCGAGGACCGCTCCGCGGTGGGGACAGACTTTGGTTTTAGTGCAGGGCCACCGACCACGGAGCCACATCCCAGCCCCAAAGTTCTTGTTTTGAGGCAGGGAATCACTACGTTGCTTAGGACCTCGCCACCACGTGGCTGGAGCTGGCTCTGAACTCGCGGTCCTCCTGCCTCAGCCTCCCGAGCCCGAGGTTACAGGCTGTGTCACATCGCAGGGCGCGTCAGTCACTTCCGATGGACTGACCTAGGTTTCAGTCGTTGATGCCACCTAGGAGCTGTGAGAGCCTGGTAGATTCACCACTTAGAACAACAATAATAGCCAACATTTATGGTGCACCTACTGGGTGCAGGAGGGACCCAGTTTGGAAGGGAGGAGTTTTAGATGTTTCTTTTACAGGGCARGGAGTGGACTCTCCAAATACTCTGGAGCCAAAATCACCTTTCCCAGCAGTTTCCTTATCTGCCAAATAAGGACAAACATCGGAAGTCCCCATGGGCTGTCTTACCTGTTTCCAGATGACCACAGGTGCTCTCAGGCTTATGGGGGAGGGAGGCTGGACCCAGCTGCCAGAAACCTCTCCCCCAAGGACAAGGGACAATGTCACAGCCCTGACCTGCTCTGGAGACTGGGGGTGTGGGAGAGACAGAGAGGAAAGCACTGCCAGAGACGAAACTGAGGGACCCCAGAGAGGGCAGGACAGGGCTGTCCGGAGTGACTGTTCCCACATCACACACCTCCCTGACATTCCTGCTACAAATGGTCACAGAACACACTGCCCCAGGCTCCAGGCCATCGGAGCCTAAGCAGATGAAACCCCTGTTCTCTTGAAGTCCCCCGCGGGAAAGTGGGCAGTAAGAGGTGCCCAAACTGGGTATAGCTTTTTCAAGTCTAAATTTGATTTTGTTTGACTTAATTTTTTTTTAATTTTTAAGAAACTTGAGATATTTGGTGGGGGGGGAGTGCACACCTGTAATCCCAGTGACTGGAGGCTGAGACAGGAGGATCAGAAGTTTAAGGCCAGCCTCCGAAACTTAGGAAGGCCCTCAGCAGTTTCCCTGTCCCAATTAAGAGAGAGAGAGAGAGAGAGAGAGAGAGAGAGAAGGAAAAAGTCTGCGGGTGTAGCTCAGTGGTAAAGTGTCCCTGGTTCAGTCCCCATTACCAAAAATAAAATAAAAATAAACTTGAGATAGCCGAGGAAAATTGGTATCAATGACATAAATAAGGGTATCCACAAACACAAACGATATCGACCCAGCCCCATTATTAACTCCCTGGCACAGGTCACACTGCTGACTCTCAGTTAGCAAGTGTCAGGGAGCCCCACCCTACAAGATGGGACTCTTCCTGCAGGAATCAGGAGGGGAAGCCATTGAAAAGGGATCTGTCACCTTGCTCTTGTGTCCTTGTCCTTCGTCATCAGATGTAACAATCAGAAAGCACTTAGGATGTCCTGAGCCACCTTAGAGATGAGAAAACAGGCTCAGGGAGGGGGGGCCAACCCGGCCATCACAGTAGGGACCAGGCAGAGCCAGGGTCTGTCCTGGGCAGGCGCTCTCTGGAGGCCACTCATCT